TTTGCGTGTTTTAATTTTTAATGTACTGTAGTCAATATTTAGAAACATAATTTTGATTGTTGAATGTAAGCTTTTTGATTCGCTGATTACATATGCCCTTTTGCGTGTTTTAATTTTTAATGTATTGTAGTCAATATTTAGAAACATAATTTTGATTGTTGAATGTAAGGTTTTTGATTCGCTGATTACATATTACGTGTTATTGCTGCAAAAAAGACATGATGAACCTTTTACCTGTATTTGCTCGCTGGGTTCAGCCTCAATCATTCCCATCTGTAAATGTTCACTTCAAGTGTAGTTTTTATCGTATACATCTATATATGTAATTGTTTTTTAGATAAATTTAAAATATGTGATGTTGAGCCTATAATATGTGTCAAATCTTAACAATCATGATCACTATGCAGGTAGTTTGTTATATCAATTCAGAACAAGCCTAATATCAACATTATTACAGAACTTTATGTTCTCCGCTCGTTAGGTATGGATGATAAGGCCAAGGAAGGGGAGTTCGTCTTCACAGATGGTACCAAGCTAGGTAGTTCCTACAGCGAGTGGGGAGCAGGTTCCAATGACCTCACTAAAAACTGTGTCATCATGGACGGGCACGATGCTTTCATGTGGAAAGTTGTTGACTGCAACGCGAAACATCTGGTTGTTTGTGAGGTTGAGATCATGTAATTGGGAGACAGGGGACCAAATCAAGAATTTTTGTCTATCCATCAATCAGCCCCATACATATATGATAACTACCATACAGCCAGTCAAACTTTACTGTACCAAAATTGATAAATGTGATTTAGTCTATCGTTTAGGGTATTTATCTTTATTTAATAAATTGTGAATGATGTTATTTGAAATGTCTTATGCCAAAGACACTTTTTGCAATGATGGCGTCAAAAGTTCTTCTTTCGTCCTGTTTAAAACGGGCACCAGCAATATATGTATATTTTATCAACGGCGCCCGCTATAGTAATCACGGTCACACTGCGCATATAGCTCTACCTAAACGTTAATCTTTTTGAAGGTTTCTCTCACGACTTCATGTACAAACTTCTCAACGATATCAGAAAATAGCAGTGAGTGAATGCCATAGTAGACAATTGTTCAGTCATTAACGTCAAAATTTCCTGACATTTCACTTAGTCAATATAATTAAAGGTAAAACAAGAAATGGCTTTTAAAAATATATTTCATGTCAGTCTCTTGTTTTAACTTATTTCCTGGTGGGGCTCATCTTTATGAAACAACGGCAACCGGTGTGACAGGAGTGTAGGTCCTTGGAATGATTGTCCTGGGTCCCATATGATTAGTATAGGTAAGGGTTGTCGGAGTATTGGCGTAAATATGTGGTTAGGCTTGTCGGAGTATAAGAGACGAATTTTACCTGTACACAGTAATGGATCCGGAGAATGGACTGCGGACTGCCATTCTTGTCACATTTTACCCTCTCATTTCTCATTTCCACATTGAAAGCAGACACCATCGACCCCAGTTAAATTACTTTTTTTCATTTCTTCCCAATCACAATTTCTTTCCACAGAAATGATCAAGACAAATTTGTATCCAGAAGCAAAATGAGCCAGCCGTCAAAATCCCTTCACCGAAGAGTTCGTTCAATTTTGAATTGCTTAATCATTGTATAATTGATTATGAACAGTGCTGTTCTTAATCTTTAAAAATGTTTAAAGCGATTGCAATTAAAATAAAATGCACGCAGATAAAATCCGTGTCTAAACAAGCTCCAGCTCTATGGGATAGTGGTCACTCACTGCTTTGGCCTGCAATGAAATCCCGTTGTAAATTAAAATAAAATAAAAACATTATTTTATACGGTATATACAGAAAAAGATTTTACAAGCCATTTTTCTGTTAAGTCTGTTTTTCTTTCGCTCTAAATTCTACTTTCATCAAAACGACAGCACGGTTGGCCTGTATTAGCGGGTAATTCCTATAGGGATGATCTTACGGTACACCGTGAAATCAAATACGTAGTTAGATAAATACCTCATCGTATGTTAGGCCATATTCCAGGTCGAAGCGGAACACGCTTGCGTTGCTGATGCCGTCGACCAAATCCTGGCCCCGTGCTACAAACCTGGAATTGTATCAACGCTTTTAATATGCCGACAACGTCACCCCAGAAAACGTCACCACACACGTTTTCCTTGGTTATTGGTCACATAAACGTAGCGCTAGAAAATTCCAAGAGGACACGCAAAACAGGGAAATGGACTTGCTAGCTATGTCAATTCTCACCGTTACAACCGACGTACATCATAAGATAAGATAAGATAAGAGTNGGGGGTGGAAAAAAAAAAAATCCCCCCCCCCTTATTTAAAAAAAAAAAAAAAAAAAAAAAAAAAAAATATATATATATATATATATATATATATATATATATATATATATATATATATATATATATATAATTAACACGTGTGTGTAATGATTCTACAGTGAGCTGAGTGGTTACTTACATTATAGTTGCGTCACTTTCACTTCTTTTAACTATCCACCGCATGGATATGCTCACAATAATACTGAATGTTACATGTAGTAAAGTTGTTTTTTATTACAGTAACATCTGCCTTTCTTTACATGAATTATTAATGTTTAGTTATAGGATTTATGGTCTGAACGTTTCTTTACTAATCCATATTGTTTTCAGATATAAATGAATGCAAGTTCCCTAGCACGTGTCCTTACTCAGGAATGCTGTGTAATAACACGGTGGGAAGCTTCACTTGTACATGTCAACGTGGACTATACGGGGATCACTGTGGTAGGTGTGACTCTAGTGGTCATTGTGGTAGGTGTGACGCTGGTGGTCATTGTGGTAGGTGTGTCTTTGGTGGTCATTGTGCTAGGTGTGACTATGGTGGCCATGGTGGTAGGTGTGGCTCTGGTGGAGACATTGATTGCGCACCATTAAATATATGCATTGAGTGTAGACCACGATACATAAATGCAGTGTCGTAATATGTCCATAATAATGTCCATGTTTTGTTTTGAGCGTGATTGTGTTAACACATGTTTGTGTGCATACGAACTTATCCTGCGTCGTTAAATGATGGAGATATGTTTCATAAGTCAAAATGATTTTTTCAGACCAAAAATGTCCTCCGATGTTTTCACAGAAACAGAACACTTGTTTGTTTATATCGAAAATTATGTTGAGTTACGACGGCGGGGTCAGGCTCTGCAGCGGTATCTCCCCGGGGGCACATTTGGTGCATATTAAGGATAAAGGAAAATATAAGACGGTGACCAATACCCTTCAATCCCAGTGGTCCTACTGGATAGGTAGGTTTTAATGGTTTTTCTGAATATATATGCACTTTTTCGTGCTTCAGTTTTTCATGTATTGCAATCAATATGTAGGAACATACTTTTGGCTGTTAAATGAAAGATTTTTGATTCGCTTATTACATATTACGGTTTATTGCTGCCAAAAAAAAAAAAAAAAAAAAAAAAAAAACCCGTTGAACATTTTGCCTGTATTTGCTTGGTGTGTTCAATCACGATCATTCTCATCTGAAAATGCCCACTGCAAGTGTAGTTTTAATCGTGTACATCTATAAATGTAATTGTATTTTTGTGTGGATTTGAAAATATGTGGCGTTGAACCTATAATATGTGTCAAATCCTAACAATCATGTCTACTATGCAGGTAGTTTGTTATTTCAATTCAGAACAAGCCTAATAACAACATTATTACACATCTTAATGTCCTCCGTTCGTTAGGAATGGATGATAAGGCCAAAGAAGGGGAGTTTGTCTTCACAGACGGTACCAAGCTAGGCAGTTCCTACAGCGAGTGGGGAGCAGGTTCTAATGACCCCACTAAGAACTGTGCCATCATGGACGGACCCGATTCTTTCATGTGGAGAGTTGTTGACTGCAACGGGAAACATCTGGCTGTTTGTGAGGTTGAGATCATGTAATGGGAAGACAGGGGACCGAATCAAGAGTTTTTTCTATCCATCAATCAGCCCCATACATATATGATAACTACCATACAGCCAGTCAAAATTTACTGTACCAAAATTGATAAATGTGATTTAGTCTATCGTTTAGGGTATTTATCTTTATTTAATAAATTGTGAATGATGTTATTTGAAATGTCTTATGCCAACGATACTTTATACAATGATGGCGTCAAAAGTGCTTCTTTCGTCCTGTTTAAAACGGGCACCAGAAATATATGTATACTTTATCAACGGCGCCCGCTATAGTAACCACGGTCACGCTGCGCATATAGCTCTACCTAAACGTTAATCTTTTTGAAGGTTTCTCTCACGACTTCATGTACAAACTTCTCAACGATATCAGAAAATAGCGGTGAGTGAAATGCCATAGTAGACAACTGTTCAGTCATTAACGTCAAAATTTCCTGACATTTCACTTAGTCAATATAATTAAAGGTAAAACAAGAAATGGCTTTTAAAAATATATTTCATGTCAGTCTCTTGTTTTAACTTATTTCCTGGTGGGGCTCATCTTTATGAAACAACGGCAACCGGTGTGACAGGAGTGTAGGTCCTTGGAATGATTGTCCTGGGTCCCATATGATTAGTATAGGTAAGGGTTGTCGGAGTATTGGCGTAAATATGTGGTTAGGCTTGTCGGAGTATAAGAGACGAATTTTACCTGTACACAGTAATGGATCCGGAGAATGGACTGCGGACTGCCATTCTTGTCACATTTTACCCTCTCATTTCTCATTTCCACATTGAAAGCAGACACCATCGACCCCAGTTAAAATCCTTTTTTTCATTTCTTCCCAATCACAATTTCTTTCCACAGAAATGATCAAGACAAATTTGTATCCAGAAGCAAAATGAGCCAGTCGTCAAAATCCCTTCACCGAAGAGTTCGTTCAATTTTAAATTGCTTAATCATTGTATAATTGATTATGAACAGTGCTGTTCTTAATCTTTAAAAATGTTTAAAGCGATTGCAATTAAAATAAAATGCACGCAGATAAAGTCCGTGTCTAAACAAGCTCTAGTTCTATGGGATAGTGGTCACTCACTGCTTTGGCCTGCAATGAAATCCCGTTGTAAATTAAGATAAAATAAAAAAACATTATTTTATACGGTATATACAGAAAAAGATCTTACAAGCCATTTTTCTGTTTAGTCTGTTTTTTTTCGCTCTAAATTCTACTTTCATCAAAACGACAGCACGATTGGCCTGTATTAGCGGGTAATTCCTATAGGGATGATCTTACGGTATACCGTGAAATCAAATACGTAGTTAGATAAATACCTCATCGTATGTTAGGCCATATTCCAGGTCGAAGCGGAACACGCTTGCGTTGCTGATGCCGTCGACCAAATCCTGGCCCCCTGCTACAAACCTGGAATTGTATCAACGCTTTTAATATGCCGACAACGTCAACACAGAAAATGTCACCACACACGTTTTCCTTGGTTATTGGTCACATAAACTTAGCGCTAGAAAATTCCACAAGGACACGCAAAACAGGGAAATGGACTTGCTAGCTATGTCAATTCTCACCGTTACAACCGACGTACATCATGCGGACTCCATGTCAACATCGAAAGTGTTAAAAATGTTAGATCTCTAGCTTAGAACTCAAAAACCAGATTTTAGATGGTTCTATTTTTGTTAACCATTTTGGAAATGGCACACCTTGGCGATAAAGGGTAAAAATTAAATGGTCTTATGTTCATTGTGTGTCTTTTTCGAAACTGCTTATTTTCGTAGGAGTCTAGGTTGCACCAGTTTCAGTATATACTCTATTATTTTTTACGAAACTGCAGCTGAATGAGTATGCATAGAGATAATATTTCCAACATAATGTTTAAACATTCATTGTGTGACTTTAAAGCGCTCACCTATCGTAGGCACAGTCCGTGGCAGACACGGTGGTGTCAGCGTCGTCAGGAATCAACCACGTGAACGGTGGACAGCGCAGTGACAATGCAGAGCATGTAAGGTCGCGCACGTAGTAGCAATCTGCGCCCAAGTCTCCCAAAATAAGCACGTCGTCCGTTGGCCACCTGTTTGCGACGTCAATACTCACAACGCCAGCAAGAGCGGTAAGTTCATTGACAGCATCCGTGGGTTTAGCATGCAATGCGCATAAGACAAATTCTACGCCTGAAAGTGGGGATGTCAACACACATGAAATGTGTACAAATGAACCGAGATAAATATATTCTTTTTTCCGTCTATGAAATATGATGTTTTGTATTACTATAGAACTCTGTCACGTTGAGACTCTGTCTCTGTCACGTTGTAATTGGCATGTAAGGTAACACTAAGAGTGTGTGTTGGAGACAATTTTTTCATATAAAACCAAAGAAACACGTCTAAAGGAAGCCTGTTAAATGTAATGCACATATTTATTATTACATGTGTTATGGGGAACATTGCGATATAAACGCCTACTAGTATATATATATATATATATATATATATATATATATATATATATATATATATATATATATATACAGACTTGTGATGATACTGGCCATTCCAGTGTTGCAAAGCAGGCGACTGGAAAAAGAAAAGGAACATGACATCACCTAAAGCTACCAAAGGCCTAAGAATAATCTTTTCGGAGATTATAATCCGCTATAGTTCGCCCGGCGATGATGGTTAAAGTTCTATCAAGAAAGATTGGTCCTCAATTAATGTATTGAACTATTGCGGTAAATGGGTTCAATTAGTTAAAGAAAACGTAACCTAAAGCTAAACATTGATCTAAGCAATGAGTCAACAACATTTGTCTTACTTTAGGTCTATAAAAATACACAGCAGTCCACACAAATAAAGTTTTTGATTGAAACATTTATTGATTTATTTATTTACTAAACTTTATTTATTGAGGGTAAAAACAAAAATGATAAATTTAAAGATTATCATGCTCATGCCCCTCATTAGCATTGCGATGCCTTTCTTGATATAGAACGGAAAGTATGTTTCATTAAATTGGACTAATACTTCATTCATCAGGATTAAAAGAAAGGTAACATTTTGGTGTTAAAATTCAGAGCAATTCTTCTGTGCAATGCAAACCTGGACCGGGCCTCGTTTGCAGACGAATATAAACCGCCATATACAGACTTGACATTTAATATGGAATGTTTTTTTTCCAAATCACTTTTATCAGCTTTTTTCCTATTTTGCCTTCTGATAAACGAAGATAAGGATTTACACCGTATTTTAATAACTTTTAATAATCTTTTTTGATGCCATTGTAATATTGGTGGCCGCATCTTTACTCGACCCAGTGTAAACTTTGGAGTACTTACACTATTTTGAATGTCAAAACCTCGATGTGCTAAGACCACATTTACTGGAAAAATCTTATTTAGAAAACTCACCTTTCTGTGATTATTTGGTTTCTCGCTCTACCGCCACGTCCATTAAAAATATCATTAAAATGTCACGTAAAACTACAAGCCTTGTGTTTTATTTGGTCAAAGGCAATGCTAGTCCTTTAGCTTATTTTCATTTACAAGCATTCAAATTTGTAGAAAAAATGTTTCATTTGTCATTTCACAAGAATCACAAACTACCAATATGGCAGTAAACATTTTTCTTCTCAACAAAGGCAGAGTTTGGTTTTAAGTTCTAATATTATTTAAACCTGGTGTCTTTACTCTCTCTCTCTCTCTCTCTTTCATTATATATATATATATATATATATATATATATATATATATATATATATATATATATATATATACAGGGTTACTACTTAATATGGAATATTATTTTTTGGCGAGAAAATTTTCTACAAAATATTTATTTTCTCTCTAACTACTTTAAATCCAAAACTGAGGTGTCACTCCAGGTGTAGCCAGGTGTGTTACCTAATTACCATACAACTGTCGAAACAGTTGATGCATGCAGTTGCATGTTCTGTGGTCAGAAATGTGAGGGGTGGTCTTTTCGGCAATTTCTGCCCTTGTATAAAAACGCATGGGATTGGCCAATCTTTGGAGTGTATTTAGAGAAGCAACAAAGATATCGCTCTGAAACTTGACAGGTACCTTGAAGAAGATCTGGTTCGACAGCTAAGCAACGCAGCTTACTATGGTATTCTTGCTCTCAGAGAAAATGGCCAGAAACGGACAGCCATTGCCAGGCAATGCAACATTTATCAGGAACCGTTAGTAAAGTCCTCCAAAGAAATGCTAAAACAGGGGCACCTACTCCAATACCTTGACCAGGGTGTCCGCGTACCACACCAAGAAGACAGGATCGCCTTCTCCTTAGAGTGCGCCGTGCTTGTCGTACAAAGACAACCAGTGTCTTCAGAAAAGAGTGGCAGAATGTCATTCAAACGCCCATTTCAAGATCCCTCGTGAACAAGAGATCGCTGCAAGCCGGTTATTTTGCACGAAGGCCAGTAGGGAAACCACTGTTAACAGCAGGTCATATACACCGACGTCTGCAATAGGCTGGGGACCACGTGCCTTTGCAGCCAAAACACTGGAATCACGTCGTTTTCAGTGATGAGGCCAGATATGGAGTTTTTAGGGTTGGTGGTCGAATCCCTGTCCGCCGACGTGTACGAGAGGCGTAAAACGATGATTGTGTACTGGCTAGGGTGCAAGCAGGGGGTGTTAACGTCTCTGTTTGGGGAGCATTTTATGCCGGTGCCCAGAACCAGTTGGTTTTTCTAGGAGGCAACCTCAACCAAGGTTCCTACAGAGACATTCTACAGCAAACAATGCTTCGATTGGTAAGAGTCATCTTCAGGAACAACTTTGTGTACCAAGACGACTGCGCAACCCCACATCGAGCTCGCAGGGTCACTGTTTTTCCTCGAAACCAATGGGTTCAACAACTGCCCTGGCCTGCAAACTCCTCAGATATGAACCCAATTGAAAGTCTGTGGGCGGAAGTAACTCACAGAATTAATAGCTATGGTCATCGGCCGGTAAATAGTGATGAACTGCGACAGGCAAATATGGAATGATATCCCCATCCAAACTCTAAAAAACTTTCCACAGGGAATGCCATGTAGGATGAGGGCGCTGCAAGCGGCTGCTGGAGGTCATACCTGCTATTGATGACTTTTCATGATTTACTGTAATGAGTTCTTTGACTGTGTAACATATCACTGTCGGGAGGCTATCATTTTCTTTAATATCTTAGCTTAACATTAATACTGACATCAAACTGTTGATATGGTTTTCTGGGGGTGTTCTTTTCTTTTGAATGACATCTTATGTGAGATTTGATATTATTGACCAAAATATCTAACAATTGAAGACTGGATATTTTTATCACTCAACGGCATACTTTTTTGATGAATCAAGCCAAAATTTTTTAAATCAGCCCTCAAAAATAACAATGATAAAAAATATTCCATATTAAGTGGTAACCATATATATATTTATATACTGACCATAGACTACTAGAGCCCATCTACAACATCTGCTGCGATCCACAAAATACTTATGAAAATAAACATAAGAGCTAATATATTTATGTATGTTTATTACTAATTACATGTTCAATAACGGGTGGTACAGTTTAACAGAGATCGTATATTTTTGTCCTGACTACTAAACTAAACTACCACTAGATTTTGAAAACTTTTCTGCAACACCTGCTGTTGAATTTAAATTTAATAATAATAATAATAATAATAATTATAATAATAATAATACCTTCGGCTACTACACAAATGTTCCGTTGATGCTACTAGCATTTTGTGTAAATTGTTACTGGAATTTCCAAAAAAAATTATGGTTTGCCTGTTACTGAAACTTTATGTAAATAAAAGTCGCTATGATTCAACTATTATGTCTTTGAAATTACAAAGTGAAATACATGTAGATTATATATCATCGCCCCCCCCCCTCCAAGGGGCAGCCTGATCAGATTCAGCATACCTAGTCTAGGCAACCCTGTCCCCATTCTAATTCTACCTGTTCCGTACATCAACCCGTTTCAGGGACTAAGAAAAAAATCCTGGTTGCAAAATGTATTTTCACGATTTTCTTTGGTTGCAAAAGGCGTTGCAGTTGCAAAATGGTTTCGGTTGTACAATGCAGCTCTACGCTTCCACATTTTGTAAATTGTATCATACTTCATTCGAGGGAGACGTTTTTAATATTGGAACCTGGATGTAAAACTTGAAACCTACCAGCGACACGCACTGTAAATATGTACACGCACTGTAAATATGTAGTCATTAAAAATACTATCAGATATAACAAACAATGAAAAATCTGAATTTGCTCTTTTTCACTCTAAAATAAAAATCGAATTTTATATTTTTGTGAGAATAAACATCCACTCTCTGTCTTAACTTAAAAAAATATTATATATTTTTAGTTATTCATTGGAATTGTCACTCTCAATGTATAAAACAAGAACAACTATAAATCTTCTTGCTGGCAACCATAACACCCCCCCCCCCAAAAAAAAAAAAAAAAAAAAAAAGGTCTCAGTTTTTTTTTTATCTCAATGACTGTAAAAACGACAAACGTGTAAGTGTGTGTGTGTATGTGTGTGAAAGAAAGAGAAAAAAGTTTGTAGCTGTTTGTTCTGGGACGTCCTCTAGCGGTGCCCACGTGGAGTGACAGCTTGGTAGTAGATCGTTAGCTAATCCGGCCATGCAGTTGCTGTCACGTGCGGTTTCTTATTTTGCTAGGAATGAGGTACTGTATCTCAAGTTGGGAAGCATTCCTATTGCTTTTTTTGTATCAGATACCAATACTGATCTTTCGTGCCCAGTTGAAACAATTATTATATCATACAAGGCGCAGGTTCACCTGTAAAACAACGCAAATTTCGTCTTTAAACTGTTCATTTTGGCGGGAAAAGTGCTATTTAACGGATTTTCCAAGGGTAAACAACATTTATTACCATACTTACCAAAGGTTAATGAATCTGTTCCGATGTTCAAATTTATGATATTTGACGCATTGTTTATTTATTGTCGAATATTGAATCTCACACAACACAAATCGAACTAGCAGTGATGAGCACATTGGGAAGTTTCTATAAATAAAGTTTATAATAATGATATGATATAATCAGTGCCCGTACTTGTAGTGTATAGGGTAGGGCATGCTCGATTAGTGTGCATTGAACTGAATAACGGAAAGCACTCCATCCGCGATTTGTAAATCTGCCTACATAAAGTAATACAAAGCAAAAATAATGATAATTTTGAAAACAATCTATTAAACTGACATTAATCAGTCAATATTTACCCAAATCCTCTGCAGCACAGTTACGTCTTAGCAGATAATTAACTTGTCAAAAATCGCACGAAACGACGGCGTTCTCAAGCCAAAACCAACTAAGACTTACCTATAACCACCCGTTACTAACGCTCTTCGCTCGACCTCCTACATGGCTGCGGGTCGAAGTCGTGACGGTATGCGGGTTCACGATACACAGTAAATTTCCCAAGAGCTGCTGCCACTATCAGAATTTAAAGGCAACGTGCTTGTTCTTCACACAACGCCATGCGTCATCTGCAACCTACAGCACCGTCCGAAAGCAATGGCAATGAGACCGATCAGACAATACAGGTCAAAATGGACAATGAGTGCCATTCTGACAGCATAGAAGGTACTGTACGTTATCCGACATATATGAATCCCGTGGACATAGACAGAGGGTGGGCTTGGGCTGTACTGGTAGCGTCTTTCCTCTGCAACTGCATCAATAATGGAATCAATTGTTCTGTCGGTGTGTACAACGCGGAATTTTTGACCCAGTTTCCGGACGAAAAACGAAGTTATGTTTCACTTGCCGGCAGTTTGCAGAACTCTATTTCTGGTCTAACGGGAATTGTGAGCGGCATCATCGCAAATAAGTACAGCTGTCGGATAAGTATTTTGTTTGGGGCCATCATTTCAGCGCTCGGTTTTATTGGCACAGCTTTTTCTACAAATATGTCGGAGATTATAGCGACATTTGGATTTGTCGTAGGTAAATAATACAGTAACATTCATAGTGTGTGTGTGTGTGTGTGTGTGTGTGTGTTCCGTGATTGTGTACGCGTAGTGTTAAGTATTTAGTAGTTAATAGTAATGAAAGCTTGGATGTGATTCGCATATTTGATTAGACGGGTTTTAACATTAAAATTTGAAATTTATGTACAATGATGCCTTGATTCAATGAGGTGTGTTTGTGGCAGGTTGCATTTCGGCTTGAAAAGTTAATTAAAACGCCATCTGTTATTCATGGTTGATGGTAAATGTATGCAAAATTGAATTTTAATACACACGGTTAACATAGTGTATGTGGCAGGTTATTTCAATTGCAAATTAAGTTTAGGGATAAAAGAGGTAGCCAATAAACGCGCGCGTGCGCGCGCGCGAGAGAGAGAGAGATGCTAGTTGAGCAAAGCATACATAGTTTTGCAGTTCTACCTAAACCACGTGGCAGTAAATTACATCTGTCTGTATTGTCTGGCTTATTAAAAAAAAAAAGCAAGAAGGATGGTAATCACATTTTGGCAAGCACAGATGCCACCATGTTTCTCCCTGTATAAGTAAAACGTTGATAGTAAATAATCTGAAAGTGTCAACGAAGATCTACAATTATACAATGTAAAAGTACAGTTCTGGGGAGGGCAAGTTAAGGTAACTCATGCATGCACTGGTAGGCAAAATGCACATCAGTTTCTAGGTCACGTGCCTTAGTTCACCATTTAAATCCGTACAGGTGTATGTGGCGAAGAGAGTTAGTGGGGGGGGGGGGGGGGTTCCTTTCTCTAGAGCCCCTCTATGAAAACTAAATCTTTTCTAAGATTATGTGTATCTATTTGCCTCCCAATGTTTGAAATCCTAGCCATTATGGTTATATTAGATCATGAAATAGGCCTCCGATATAAAACCCCTGTGAGAAAACACCCTCGTGTAAAATAAAAATAGAACAAGACGAATAAAAGATTCATTGCTGATTAATTTGCCATTGATATAGCTTTTATCTCTGTTATGGTTACTTAGTGGTGATGAATGGATGCACCACGTGTTGGAGTCCATTAATAACTATGAAAATGAAGTACAGAGTGTTAGGGGTGCTTGTTAGATACAGCATGTCAAGAAGTGGAGCCCGTTTGTAGCCCCTCTCAATCATAACCATTTCAAGTTAGCCCTCCGAACTATATCATCAACACTTGCAGTTCAGTTAGCATTGAATCCCGTGATGGCAAGACTTAGAAATTGGTGCACATTCATTTACCTGTAAATGTTATTTTGATAAGTCATTCAGTTAGTGTTTAATTTATCATCATTAGCATTAGCATATAACGCAGATTTTTTGATGCCATTATTCAATCGCTTGGCAACTTCGACACTGCTTTGGGATAATGTCATATTTGGATTTGTTATTGGAAGATATGTATGAATGTTTCCGCGTGTGTGTGTGTGTTTGTATATTAATGTATGAACCCCTTCGTCCGTTCACCTTTTTCTTTGCCTGTCTGTCGATCGTTAGACTGAAAGAAGCATACAGATTTCGCAACGCCTCATGTTTCATTTTGGTAAGATTAATTTTTCTGACAAGGCCATCTTTCTTTGCAGGGTTTGGTACCGGTCTTGTTTATACAGCTTCAACGATCTGCGTCGGACAGTATTTTGACAGGAGAAGACCAATAGCTCTTGGTATCGCTACAGCAGGTATGGCCCTGGGACAGTTCATGTGCCCCCCTTTGATCCAGTTCCTCATAGACACTTATTCGTTGCGTGGTTCTTCTTTTATCGTCGCAGGACTGTGTCTGAATAACTGCGTCTTTGGAACTGTAATGAAACCGCTTGAGGAGAAAAATAGGTATTACATAGAGACTACTCTTCAAGATAATTTACACCTCCCAGAAAAGAACAGTGATCAGAAACCAAGAGACTTGAACAAACTGGTTCTAGAAGAGACATTGACAAACGATTTTATCACTGATGATTCGAACCGCTTTTGTCGCGATAACACGAGCAAGAAATCAAATCGGTTAGACCCTATGCTGAATGACCCAAAGGACAATATATTTAATGCTACTTCAATTCTTAGCTTATCGTCAATGGGCAGCATGACTTTAAGTGTCTCTCAGCATTCAGTTTCAAATAACCAACTTAGTGCTATAGAAGACGAGGAAAAACCAAGCTACCAGACAAATGTAATGACAATCTTAGACGTTGGCCCTCTAAAGAACGGGGCTTTCGTTTGTTTATGCATTGCGGTATTCTTCTGGGCCTCCGGCAGTCTCCTTTGCTTTCTGCACCTTATCGCTTACACATTGCAGCACGAAACCACCCCTCCGCAAGGCGCCATCTTGTTGTCAGTTATTGGCGTGGGGAATTTTTTCAGTCGACTGCTTGCGGGGGCTGCAACCAACGACAAAGAGCACGTGGATCAGGTTACTTTGGCCGCTGGCGCCCTGGGGATCTCAGCACTGTTGTCATTTAGTTTGCCGTTATTCATAAACAGTTATTGGTCCCAAGTCTTGTTCGCTGCTCTCTTCGGTGTTTATTCAACCATCATTATACCGTTATTGGCACCAATGACAGTGGAGACTGTCGGACTGTCGTCGCTGGGAGCTGGGTTTGGATATCTGATGGTTATGAGCGGTATCGGTTGTGGAATTGGCCCTCCACTGGCAGGTAATTCTATTCTGGTTTTTCATCGCTTATTTTTGTGTTTTGAATATCAAATGCCAGGCGTGCTAGGAACCTGTAAGCATTCTTGTCACTGTAACTGTCGGCATCCTTTTCCGGTTGGCACTGTTTCCTTAGTGACAGTCGATCCAAATCACGTCCTCTATTTAATATTATAGAACAAAAGATATTCTTTCTTATATTTGAAGACCTCTGTATTCTTCCTTGTACATCACCGTCTAGAATAGGCATGAAGTTACTGAAAGCACCTCAACGCTTTTATTGAGATGAAGAACGCCAACCCATTCTTTATGAATGGGTGTCGTTATATCCATATTTCTATTTTCACTGTTTGAAGAGATATTCACCGGAACTTTTCATTATTCCTCAGATTTATTCTTCTTTCGTCAAGCATTTGACTACTTTCTGACTCGTGTATTTTACCTTCCTTGTAGGTTATCTATACGATCTCACCGGCGACTATTCATATTCGTTTTATCTTGCAGGTAAATGTTAATTTTGAGTGACAATATAGCTTCGACAAAATATTCTTCAATTCATGCCCATAACCTAAATTATATACATTCACATCTTTTTTTCACAATCTTTTTTAAACTCAAACCTATATTCATTGTCTCAATTTCACAGAGGAAACCATTGATATATTACACAATGAGTTTAAAAACTGAACCGATTCTTTGATTAATGCACTGTATGTAAATGAGTGTTCCATACATTTTAGCAAGAGTGTTTGCGACAGAACACTTGGACGATGCTTATTTAAACGAGGAAACACCTACCAATTTTTAAGTCTTGTTGGTCATAACATCGGTTGAAATAAATATATATATATATATTATGTAAAATAATGACCAAAATAATGGCTCCATTCTTGGGATATTATTGAATTGTACATACAAATACTAGCGCTTCACCAACAAAGGGCAGCTACACAAAATAGATAAGTAAAAGCATGGGAAAATTACATTGAGCCATCTTCAAGCCAATTGTATATAGAGTCGAAGTGACCCACTTTTGAAGGGTAGTGTAAAGCCTTAATCGTCACATTAGTATTTTCTATCGGAGCGAGGATTGAATCCCTGCAATATTTGATGGCGTATTCGTTTTTTATCCGATTGATGTTATTTCAAGATGTTCACTTAGAGAGAAGCTAGAATTTCAGAATAAAAAGGATCTTGTTCAGTCCAACCAGGCAGTTTCTTCACTTCGTATGGCATAAATCTGTTTTATATTGAACTACATGATGCCTCTTATAAACTTATTTTTCTACAATATTTCAGGTATTCTGTTCATAGGGGGATCACTCATGCTACTGGCCATTCCAGTTCTAGAAAGCAGACGACACCAAATGGAAGAGAAACCAGAACATAGGTGTTCATAGGCATCTTCTCGCTATGACACGTACAGTGAATTACTCATGTAGCGTTAGTGCACATAAATTTAGGATCCTCAGAATCCTTTCAAGCTGACTTATGGAATTGTGGGGTTTTATTTGAGTTAATTTTGTCGTTTAAGAAAATAATGGCAATGAATAATGTGCGTTCCTGGAAATTCATGATCGCTTTATAAATATCTTTTAGGATTTAAAGAGTATTTTTACACAATTCAATACGCAAGTTCTTTGAATGAATTCAAAATATAATTGTCAGCATATTTTGCCAATGTCAGTATCTGATGCAAAAATACTTCGAATTTCGTTCAACATTAGGAAGTGGGTTTTAAAAAGCTTTATTTCGACGTATTGTCCTATATACCCCGGTCACACGTACACGACGCAGGGTCGGCGCACGGCCGACGCGCTAAAAAATTGGCAATTTTGGCCAGTGCGCTGTTATGCGTCTGCATTCGTCAAACTTGCCGGGTGACAGTTATGCATTCGTTTTCATTCGCTCTTGTGCGTCTGAGTTTTTGTGCATGCACAAAAATGTGCGTTCAGCTCGACGCATGAACTTACACGTCAAAAGGTCGCTCGGCATTCGCGGAGGCCGCTGGATCAGCGTTAATCAGACGTTGCATAAACGCTAAGTGTTCGTTTCAAATTCGTTGGCTTTGGCGTAGCGAGCACACAGCATGCTTCCACCGCATGTGTAGCGAACATGCAGCGACTATAAACGAATCTCTTACGAACCAGAACGAACGTTGAACGACTCTATAACGCAGCCAGCTTTATTGTAGCGCGCCTCTGTCGTGTTCCTAGCGTGTCCCAAGCATGCGTGTCCTGAGTCTAGCGTGTATCCATGGTGTATACATAAATGGGTCCTCTGTATCCACATCACTTCTCCACTTATGCTGAATAACCGCTTCATAATATGGAAGATCTTGACAGGCTGCGATCAGAATACAATACTTCAGTTCTCCAACATTCTCATAACGTCATGGAACTTGCACTGCACCAAGCCTGTGACACCAGGAGCATTCTGGCGAACCGTTTACAAGTTCTACCTAGGACAATGCAGCGGCAGCCCAAGGCCATCAAAAAGATTATTATAGCAAGCATCCTCCTCCACAACCTTATGAGGACCCGGTATTCACTGCAGAGCCAGCAGCTTGACGTTTCCGAGAACCTGGGTCAAGAGTTTGCTGCTGGTGAGTGGAGAAATGGCCGAAATCTAGAGGACACCCGCATCGTCACTGGCAGCAACACGTCCAGCAATAAAGGTAAAAAACAGAGAAATCTCATCAAACACTGGGTCAACTCTGAAGACGGATCTGTTCTATGGCAAGACAGGATGATTTAGACCACCTCTTCCTTCCCTTTGAAATGACCATTTAAGCATAGACTAAACAAGACATTTAATAATACACAGTGGTACAAAATACATAACGCACATGTGATGTTACTGTAATTAAAGTTACAATCAGGGTTAAATTTTGTCCTCTGAGATGGTCTTAATCTAAGTATTTTGTATAGCTCGATTTTTACATAAATTATCTAAAAACAATGCTCGGTTATAATTCAAAACAATTACATTAACAGTGTATATCATGTTAATGCTTCTCTTTATTATTTTGCTGTTTAATATCACCTTCCCAATAAATGAAACGATTAATGTGTATCCAAGAAAATTAACTTTACTTGTTACTTTTTACATAATCTGCAGTTTTTATATATAGAGAACGAGTCACGTGATTGCTGCTGACTGAGGAACGCTATCTGTTCGCTTAATGCGTGCTGAATGCGCGGGTCATTCGTTCCTTGCGCCAAAAACCCATTGTGCATTCGTTGGATTTTTTTACGCGTGCGTTCTATAGTCGATCTTCATGCGCCCTTTATACGCAAAATACGCCAACAGAACGCTATGTATTCGCAATTTTTCTGGTAAATTCTGTCAAAAGTTGGACGCACAACAGCGCATTTGGCTTATTTTCATGCGCAATGCATGCGTACCTCGTGCGTTCTGTAGGTGTGACCGGGCCTTTAACCCTTGTAGAACTGCATTGAGACTAGGGTAGGAATGTACTAGGGGATGGGTAATTATATATTTTGTAATATAGTACTTTCTAAAGTACTTCAGAAGCAGGTTCAAAACTTTTCCCGCATGGGTTGGGCAAAATTGTCCACACATTATACACCGTACTCTCTAAACAACATTCAAAGATCATAAATAAGGGAAATTGACATTATTAATCTACCTATTGTATTGATTAAGTCTTGTTTCTTGAGTTACAATATTAATGGCATGCACGACGACCTCATCTTCCCAGAATACTGTGGACTTATAAATATGTTAATTATTCATGAGATGCGCGAGGAGCGGAGCTAATGGCGCATGCGTGACAGTTATTATGCACCGGATAAATAATAAATATATATAACAAACGATATCTGTCAAGTGTTGTGTTTTACCTGTGTTACAGGAATGGAAGTCCTAGGAATGGAAGTCCGGGCTACCATATGATTAGTACAGGTTAGGGTTAGTTGGAGCATTGGGGTTAGTATATTGGGACGAATGTCACCTGTACAAAGTAATGGGGAACGGACTACGGTTCCTAGCAAACAATATCTGTGCAGTGTCGCGATTTACTGGTATAAACAAGATGCATATTGTCAAATAAATATGTAATTTGTGTCATATTTCGGGCCATAGCTACTGATCATACACGATGTGCATTTTTGAAATGATGTACTTGCTCCCTGGCCACTTGAAACTCCTGAATAATAATAATTTATTGAGCACAAAGAAATGGTTTACATTTACAGGCTCTCTAACTAATACAAGTATTAAAAAAGAATAATTTAAGTAATAAACTATGCTCATCCACGCAGGGATACACGCTTTTTAATTGCACTGTTAACAAATTTACATATGGCAATCACACTCTGCGCAGAGAGTGGATTGAGTAAAATAGATAGTTTATTGTCTGTTGGACCCTGCAAATTCACCTCTGGTATGGAAGCGAACAGTATTTCCCGTTCGACTCTGTGTTCACTGCATTCTAGAAAAAAGTGTGCTTCATCTTCTACTGAGTCGCAGTGGGGGCATTTCCTTTTGTCAATTGGCTTCTTTGGTTTTGTATATCGCCCTCTTTCAATTTCTAATTCATGATCACTGATTCTCATTTTTGCTAATACCCTTTTTTGAGCTAAAGGAACGTTGAGTTTTACATAAGGTTCAGCCTCATAAGTGTGTTTAATTTTTCCATATGTTCTGAGTTTATTGTTTTCTCCTTTATATATCACTTTATATCACTTTATCTTCGCTATTCCAAAGGAATATAAGGAAAATAACAATTTTTCTTATCCTGAACCTATTTTTCTCAGAAATGCCATATACATACGCAGGAATATCATCCAGTGGCATGTTGAAAACACTCCCAAGTCTTAAATTATTCGTGAAATTGTCATGGATTACAGACTGTTCATATAAGTGATCGAAATGTCCATATTGTCTATTGATTTATTTATCTGTATAAGTCAGTTTTAGTGCTGCGGAGTGGATGTCATGGCGAAAAATGGACTGTTTTTTGTTTTTCTCACAGCCAATGCGGCCCTGCTCGTTCTGATGGTAACTTTTACAACTATCGAAAACAAGAAAAGGCGTCACGTATCCAAAGAGGAAACGCAACCCGATTGTTTAGTGCCAGCGTTAGTATGCGAGGAAAAGTTACAGAAGAAACCATACCTGTGGTATCATATCAAAAGGCATCCGAACATTTTTGGTGCCCCTTGCAGCGTGGACGAGGGACCGTTTCTTCTTGTCCTAGTTTTATCTGATCCTCGAGATTTCCAGTCCAGACTGACGTTTAGAAATACTTGTGGAAATA